GTCAGCGGAGCGGTCAACAGGTCGAGTCCGGGCCAGGTCGAGGTCAAGCCCAGCCGTGGCTGTGTCTATCTAAAACACCTATATATCAATTGTTGCAATTTTTTTAAATAAACAGGGGTCTGTTTTATTAGTGCAGCAAACAATAAACAATAAACATATGATTTATGAGTAAAAAAACAAGAACTAGTAAAAAACTGATTATGGTAGTTAGAATCTGTAGTTGAAAAAATCAAAATCGTTATCAATTAAAAAAAATTACGAAATTTATTATGGATGGATTAATAGATCGATTTGATAATAAGTTAGCATACAAAAAACGTACATGAAAATTATAGAAAATGTAATGGCGTTTGGAGGCGGGTTTGCGGGGATTATCAAAATGGGCAGTCTGTGAAAAAGCAAAGCTCAACCCAGAAAACCCATTTGAAATCACAAAGCCGTACTATGATGCCATTTTTTGATGTAAAGGGCTGATATTTGCAGGGCAACTTGCAGAAAACCTGCAGGTCAATTTCAGAGCCACGAACAGTAATTTGTTCAATCTCTCCCCTTTTTTGCAATTCAGCCCCTATCTTTGAATACATAAAAAACGAAACTTGTGTTAAAAAGCTGAGAAGAAAAAAATTTAGATGTGTTTCCGGCGGCGGCGGATATCGATTTCTAGCGGCGGTGATGCTAACACTAAAAACCCTAATTTGTGGTATTGAGTTGTCTTGGGCTTTGTATTTATAGAGTGAGCGAGATAAACGAGGCACAAGGTCTGTGAAGAAATAGGTAATTGCTTGGACATCCCTGAACTCTATCATAATTATTCATAGCACCGTCTTTTTTGGGATAAATTTGTTACGGGGTTATTTTGCTATTGTATTAAACAATAGGGGGTTGGTTACAAATTTCCCACATAAATATTTGCTTGCTCTCAATTTTGAAATCATTTTATTATATGTCGATCCGTTATCCTTCAGTCATCGTTCTCAACGGCAAAATCCGAGCTTTCATCACTCAAAAAGGTATTTCGTTTCTGCTGTTTTGACGACGAAAAATTACTTTAATTTTTGCGTGGGGTGTTTGATTTTTGGCTTCTTTGATTTCACTAATTGAACTCCATAACTGAGTGTTCAGTGTTCTTCGTTTTGCAATGCCGCCCAATTTCCACTTCCTTCTAGGTTAATGTTTTCATTTTGGTTTACGTGATTGAGAATAAGTTTTGCTTCGTTTTAAATTATGTCTGAGGATTTTGCCGCTAATTGATTAAGATAGGGCTTTTTTGCAGGTTTAATGGCGGTATCATGTAATCTGCTATTTCTGGGGGTTTAATCACGTTGTTTATGACAGTGACCGCATTTTCTGCTGTGCATCTTCATAGCATGGTATGAGTATTTCTTTTCTCCGTCTCTTTAATCTGATTTCGTGCTCCTTTGTTCTATTCGGCCCGTTTTGGTTTCGAGTTCAGAAAGTCGTGAACACATGGAAAAACAGTAGTACAGTACTGGCAATATGTTTTTGTTTGTGAATAGATTACCATATGCTAGAAACAGAAATTCATCGCAAGATGTGTCACAATCAAATCGTGGTATTAGAAATGGTTCGTGTCTAATATTTTGTATGATTAGGTTTATTCTGATTCTTTTAACTATTTAACTTAAACGGGCTATTTATATAACGAGGATAGCGCAAAAATTGTCTTTTGGCCTAATCGAGAAAATGTGCTGTTGAACTCTTCTCATGTATGCACTTAGTGAACTAGTAGAAAACCAAACTAGATAAAAGCTGGCTCCTATTTTGATATCATAACGCAATTGGATCTGTGATTACTCGCTTAGTGTTTTTTTTATTTTGCTCGAGAATTTCTAATGAGAATTTAATTGGATCTCAATACAAGCTATTATTTTAGCGTGACAGTCGCCAAAATGAACTTCACCCTCTCAGGGTTTCAGTGAGAAATGTTTGCGTCATGCTGTAAATTTAGAAGCTGAGAGAGCATACAGGAGCATTTTTTGCAGAAGCCTGAGGTATTATTTTCTTTTGTTGATGCTTGTCAGAATCTTGCCTGAATGGCTTTTATAACTAGTTCTATTCCATGCAGGTTTAGTAATTTTCTTCCGCCAAATATTTTAACATCTTGTGTTCGATCGAAGCACAAGTTTTCAGGAAAGTTGTTGAATGGTGTAGATGGCTATGAAAAGGTGTGGCAATTCGTAGCATCAGTTCGTATAATACGTACATATTTTGATGCAAAACTGACATAATTACTTTTCATTAACCTAGTGTGCATCTGGTTTATTGGTTCAATATTACTTTTTACTTTACGGACACATTTCCTAATTTAATTAATTTACTCTTTTGTCCTGAATTTTCTCGTACTTTTTAATACTGTTCTCACTGTCCACCTAGAATGGATTGTATGAATATTTTTTTGATTAGTGTACGGTACCATTAATATAGTGAATGCCAATCTTGAGTATTTGCTGGAAATTTATGGAAGTTTTTGTCTGGTGTCACGACTTGATTTGCTTGTAGGAATCAGTTCTGATCGGTTGCAGCGGCCTTGATGAATTTATTGGCAATAGAGAAAGGTTTCATGAGAATATCAAAGCCCAAAATATTGATTTTGATGCAACCTTGGCATGCAAACAATTCTCTTCCATCACTTTGGGTTGCTTCCCGACTGTGGATTTGTACGATGGACCTGCGATGTACTCTCAAACCACAGAATCCCTGGTTCCTGAAATTCTTGAAGGATGCATTCCTAGTCGGCTTGATGCAAATTGGGTCGATCCGAAATCTTTGTTCCAAAACCTGGATTCTTTCTACACTGAGACTTCAAATGTGACTGACCCTTATGTCCTGGAAGAAGAATCGGATAAATCTGCTATATATTCTGAGCCACCCGATCGGAAGACCGAGGCAAGGAATTCTTTACAGTTGACTGCTGACAAACCTTGCAGCAATGGGGCCTCAGTGGCAGAAATCCTTGATAAATGTATAAGCTGCATACCTGGGTTGACCAAACGACAGCTCAGTCAGCTAGAGAACAGTGGTTTTCACACGGTACTCCAACTGAATAACTATTGGGGAGCAATTTTATTTTCCGTTAGATGGAACCCTGATGGATCTGCTTTTTCTAATTGTAGTTACGGAAATTGCTACATCATTTTCCTCGCACCTATGCCGATTTACAGAATGCTGATGTGGAAATTGATGATGGACAATACTTGATCTTCGTTGGGGAAATAATGTCTTCAAGGTAGGCTTTCTATTATTCTCAATATTTTTATATCTATCCTATAAATCAACATTTTATGGCGCTGCATGTGTAATATTTTACCTTGCGATTGTGGATACTGTAATATTCTCATAATAATAATGAAGGTTTCCTTAGTTAACATTATAAATTTTTATATAATGAATTAATATTGGAATATGGAATAGCTTTCTGGACTTGTACTTTTTTCCTTCAGCGAGGTGCAGCGATTGATTTATTTGTTTATTCATATCCTAATACAAAACACAAACCACCTCCCCCACCACCACCACCACCACCATCTTCGAACAAACACACCTGAAGTGTATAGTTAATAGAACTGCCTTATATGTTGATGGTGTGCAACTGCATAAGTGTACTGCTGCCCCCTACATTCACGCTATTTGAATTTGTGATATAAGTTGCATCTTCATCTTTCCATTATCTTTTGTCATAGTTCAATTTTGACACTGGATACTTTTTGACCAGGGGAATCCGAGCTAATGGTTCAATCGCATTTCTGGAGGTTATTGTAGCATGTGAGGTTGGTGCAGATGCTGAGCCAAACTCAGAGTGCATCGCTGTTGAAGTAGACAAGAGAAGGAAAAGAACTATATATCTGCATTTGAAGAAATTTTTTCGTGGTACTCGTTTCACGTGCACACCTTTTCTCAGAAGAATTCAAGAAAACCACAGGGAGGGTGATATTGTGTGTATCAGTGGCAAGGTGAGGTTCTTTTATTAAGTGATCCATTATTTTAAAATTTGCACTACCTTTTGGCTCTAGGCTCTTCCAAGAGTAATACTTCGTGTATTAGGTATAGATTTTCATCTATCTTGAAAGTGCTTAACCATTCGTTTATCTTGCCAAATTGGGTGATTGGGTCTCAACTTAAAGACAGTTGGATGGTTTATGTCTTTATGCCTTTCTGGACGCCACAGGTTTCATAGTGTAGCATATTTACTACACCTAAATTAGTGTAGAGAAACCTTCCAACCAAAAGAAGAACACTTATATTTTGATTTTCTTTTAATTTTGTTTTGCATTTTTGTGCAGATCGATTTTCTGTCTTTTCTTTCTTCCGATTGTTCAAAATTTCATTTACGTATAGCTTATGATTGTTGGTTTTTATTTTTGAAAGGTGCGTACCATGAGTAGCAAAGATCACTTTGAAATGAGGGAGTACAATATCGATGTGGTGACTGAGGAAGGCAATTCATGTATTTTTGCTAAAGGGAGGCCTTATCCAATATATCCTTCAAAAAAGGGTCTCAACCCTGAATTGGTCAGGGATTTCATTTCAAGGTCTCCACTCCGTACCTTTACCTCCTTATTAACTATTTCTGTGTGGTTAGGTTCCACTTACCTGTCCTCAGTTCCGGATACTTGTTTGTGAATTGAAGTTGGTGTTTTATGACATATATTTCAGTATTCCGTTTAGTTTTTCTTCTGTACATCGTCCTTTTTCATTTGGGTTTTTAATCAATCAGTTGTAGTATATTCTAGGTAACTGGTCGAAAAGTTTCCAATACTAATGTAATAATAGTTAAAAATATATATTAATTGGAACGTGAATCTTTAGGCATTTTAATACCACAAGAATGCAAAAGAGGGAAATAAATCCTATTTGTCGACCATGGTATTATTACTTGATGGATTTAAACTCCCACCGTAGTTGAATATTAGCTTTCCAAATATTTGGAGCGATAATAAACACCAATTAGTCGATCTAATTGTTAGTTGCTTCGTGCTTATACTGTGTCCAATGGCCACATGTTGATGCTACGTCGCCTCTCTTAGTTCTTTGCAGAGATTGGCTTATGTAATATGTTCTTCATCGAGTTGTTTCAAATGTATTCCTTCTCTAATACAGTGAATTTGCACATTTTTTCAGAGCTTTAAAGACGCTGCCAGTTGATTTTGATCCTCTTCCTAAAGATATTACTCAGGAATTTCAACTGCTCTCCCTGTATGATGTATGTTGACTTGCCTCACAACCTTGTAACAGTTTTTCAACCTGTCGTTGCATTTTTACCCTCAGTAAAGATTACTGAGTGGCTTCACTAAATGGAAGTTATGTCATCTTTTTATCGCCTTTTGGGTGCCTTTGTCAGCTCCAGAAATCATTTTTATTTTAAGTTGTTCATACCATTTAATGAGGCCTCAGCTTTCTCGATAGTCGTGGGGACTGGGAGGGTTAAAGAAAGAAAAAGAAACAGTTATAAGAATTGAGATGTACTCTTAAATTTGGACTTCTATTTGTTTCTGGTATTTGTAAATTAGCTTTCAAAGCCTTGCTTTATTGAGTTATAGCTTTTACTTCTACATGGAATCATAAGTAGAGGTGCACGAGTTATAACCATCAGTATCTAGATACTATTGGAATTGAAGTACATTTTGTTGGATGCAGGCATATATTGGAATTCATCAGCCAACTAATTTGAACACGGCTGATTTAGCTCGCAGAAGGTTTATATTTGATGAATTCTTTTATCTTCAGGTAATGGTGAAATGTTATTGTTATTTCTCTTTTCGGTCAACCATCGATCATATTCACTCTCGACCCTTGTTCATATTGGAATAATTTTTTAAAGCCTTCACTACTGTTTCATTACTTGCACCAATTTCTATACATAGAAAATTATTTTCACAAGTCAATCAAAATCAGACAGAATTATTGATTGGCATTCATTAAACCACGAGCTCTCGGTTTTTAATTGCCTCCCATCTTTTCATCTTATTGTTTGACCTACTTCCACTTAGTCAACCTATTATTATTTCAGTCTTTTCAGATACTAATGGTGTGTGTATTCACAATACCTTCTTGAACATATTCTTTTCAGTTGGGGAAGTTATTCCAAATGCTCGAGAGTCTTGGCACAAAGCTAGAAAAGGATGGATTGCTTGAGCGGTACACAAAGCCTGA